ATAAATAATAAAATAATAATAATAATTATACAATATCGGAATAATAATCTAATAAAATAATAAACGGTTCTATAACACTACTGAATAAATCTAGAGAATTTATAGAGTATGAAATTCTGCTTGGCAAGACCTGAGTAGAGAGGTAGCACAAATCTTCAACAGTTACTATATAAAGGATGATCAATCAGATACCAGAAAACTGGACAGGACCGAGGTGTTTAGCAAAGCACTAATACCAACTAGGCTGACAGAGAAAACCAGAAGAAGGGTTCTGGCTCTTCTGGGCTATTGGATTAGAAGTTTGGGTTTCCAAAGGTATGGAAGGGAGTCTGTAAAATAGATACTGAGATTTAGGTAAACTCTACAAAGGCTGTAATAAGTAACTGTAGCGGCCTCAGCTCACAAATACTTATTCTCGGACTTGGCGTAAGTTACCGAAAAATCCTAGTCCGGAAATGTATAAGATATAGAAAGATTAAAGTCATCTATTTCGCCTACCTGTGGGGACCTATAGGCAACCAATGGGGTAACCAAGCCCAGGTAAGATAAGTAGGAAGCATTTCGGTATAAAGGTATCTAGCTTAGAATAATTGGTGAGTATATACATCTGTAATACTAAAAATGTAGATCCATGTGATCAACAATAAAACATCAATAAAGCTTGGTCCCAAAGGACACCTTAAAAAAAAAAAAAAAAAAAAATAATAATAATATGAAAAACCTCATATATACTAATATAAAAATGTTAACAAAAAAAAGTTACTATGTATAATATCCAAATATAAACTCATATAGATTGTTTGGGTTCTGTTGCTACCATATTGTCACGAAATAATAAGCAGGGGCATTATTTAGAATAATGGCCCGAATTAAGCTTAATTTAGGCCAAAATTTGTAATTTCACACCTGCGACAATACGGTATATATGTACGTATGTACACCTTTATTAGTCATTATTGTTATATGTACGTACGTATAAAAGATGGATGTAAACTAAATATCAGATATATGGTATGTAAAATGAAAATTTAGGGTTAGTAATAATAAAATTCTGATCCGTTTGGAATTAGCGAAACTTCGTTTCCGTTTATTCACATACGGTCAGGTATCTTGATATAGTGATCGAGGATGTAAAAATTCATTCCCGAAAATTTTAATTAGTGCACCAAAGTCGGGCTAAACATTTTCTTCCTTCGCACGTGTTCGAATTCTATGTCGAGCTGATCTGGAATAGACTCTGATTGGCTATTTCCTTTTTAAGAGTTTGTATTACTCACTAAAATAAGATGCACGTAAAGATTTGAATCGATTAGTAGTCATTGTTAAACGAGTGAGCACATGATGAAAAAGTTCCCCATTGGATATAAAAATTATACATTTATCGATATGTTTGGCACTAAATATTGTAAAATCATAACCTTTATTTTAATACAAGATCGACATTTTTCTCCATCGAAAGATACGAATGTAGGGTAATATTGACCATAACGATAATATAATAACAAAATAATAGGAACCTTGACCATTCTCTAGTAAGTCAATAACGTCCAACTAAGAGGCATATCGATATCGATATAATACGATATAATATTAGTAAATATGTATATATATCAATATGTTGTACAGTAAGTGGGAACTGAATTTAAGTGAATTTGAAATTTCTTAGTTTGTGGAGTTAGGGTGTAGGTTTATACGTATAAAATAAATTCTACGTATCCTAAATTATAATTTTGTAAGGAAACTCCAAACCCGTTCCCACTTGCAACATATATATGTATATATTTTGTATGCTATTTATATTCTTTCATATAACGAAAATAATATTTTATGCTGCATTGTATATATCGATGACAGTTTATTCAGTTTATTCATGCATTATTCTATGTAACATATATTTATATATAATATATTGGATAATTAGATAGAGGCGATGATATTTGTTGTTATTTGCAATGTTGTTTTTGTTAAGGAAAATAAAATAATAATAATAACCTTTAAAAGTTAATATGCGAATTGATAGCTCGTAGAAATTCAAGAAACTTGAATTTTTGACGTTTGGAGTTAAATTGAGAAATTGATTTAACTTAAACTATTACAGCATAAATGCATTGTAAAATATATATATGCAAATAATTTAGATAATTAATCATAATTAATCATACGTAAGCTCTTTTCAGGTACGCATAGAGTTTCTTTTTCGAGATTTCCATTGGTAGTACAATTATCAAGGAATTCATAACGATAAATTTTTTTGAATAATGTTGGTGAAACATCTTACCAGAATTTAGATGCTACAAATGATTCAAAAGTCTACGTCAATTATATCGTAAAATTCACTAAACGAAAGGAAAAAAGTTGTTTTTTGTTTTTTTTTTGGATTTTTTTTTTTTTTTAAAACTAATAATGACAAAGACTAAAGGTCTTAGAAAGACCAATACCGTAGGTAGTAGACCAGGTTTGGTTAAACCCATTATCCAAGAAACTTTAGTCAAAAATGGTGTTAGTGACAAACTTGTAAAAAAAGATCATGAGAAAGACGTTAAAGGCGATGAATTTAAGGACCTTAAAGAAGCCGTTCAAAAAAACGGAAAAGAAAAAGACACTTCCAAAGTTTTGGGAAACGATAAACAAAAAAAAACTATCTTAGCTGTCAAACTTGAACAAGAAGATCAAATAACTTCAAAACCAAAGCCATTAACCATTACCACAAATTCTACTACAACCTTATCTTCAGCACCAGTATTAACATTTACAACGTCCACAAAACGTAAAAACGGTTTATCCGATGATACTTTAAAGATTAAACGTAAACTTTCTTTTGAACAGCAACAAAAGGTTTCTAATAATGCTCCCCCAACTCCCGACGAGTTATCACCTATTTCTCCGACAGCTGACGCAAATTTAAGACGTGGTACAAAGCGTATGCGTAGTTCTACGTCAACCTTTACGGATCCACCCGTAGAATCATCTCCGGTCTTTTTGTTACTTGATTTTGTGAATAGTCTTCCATCTGATCCGAGACGTTTGTCTCGTGAAGAACTATTAAGAGCTGGAACTTGGTTGTTTGATACATTGCTAACGAAATCTTTTTCAAGACCTTTCGTTAATCCTGTATCTGAAGATGCTATATTATATCGTAGTGTTATTCCACGCTTAATGGATTTAACTACAGCCGAGAAAAGATTATGGGCTGGAAAATATAGGGATCTTAATAGTTTGTACACCGATGTTATTCAAATCCTGTCGAATGCTTTCACTTTTCATAATGAAGGTGAAATTTATGAGGAAGCAAGACAAATGTGTGATTACTTTTTAAAACATTTATACCCTCAATTAACGTATGTATATATTTATTATTTTATAATTATTCATTAAATATCATTGTTATTCATCCAATATCCTTAAATTCCAGTAAGATCGTTTTTGGTGATGATTCATTACGTATGAATGAGTTGATGCCTTTACCTCATGAAGAAATTTTTACTATACCCACTTTTTCATTTGAGAATCTCAAAAATTCAAAGTAATTTTCATTATATTTTTTTATTAAAATTTATTAAAATTTTTCATTCAAGTAATATATATATATTTCTTTTTTTTAGGTCAATATATGTTGTCCCAACTATGAATTATAAAAGGATGCAAACTAATACTCAGGCAATAAAAAAGTCAATTCCATCTGAAGTACTTGATCGACTTATTAATTTCAATCATGGAGTGTTGGAATACTTTAAAGATGGAACTAAACCATCAACTCCTAAACTCAATATATCTTCCACTACAAGAGATTACCTTCGAATTTACATAACTAAAGGTGTGACCATGATGACCGAATGTATAGATAATCCTAATTCTATTGTAGTGATCATGGGAAATATGAAATTCATCCGTAAAGAGAAACGTTTTCGCTTTGATGCTCTATTTGCAAGACCATTTGGAAAAACTCATGATTTGGATACCTTTGAATTTCCTGATTTGAATGACGCAAAAGGATGGGTTCGATGTGCGATTTTAGCTCGACGTGATAATATCGAATTATCAATGGCGACTCATTGGTTTGCTAATAAGCTATTACCATTTAGCACGACCAAATTCGATGAAAGTACTCTTACACCTGAATTTCACGAGGCTTACGTCGAATCTCTTTGGCATGATAAGCCAAATCTAAAAGTTGATTCATCTATGAAATTTTATCCAAAAGATCTTGATGATTCATCTATGAAATTTTATCCAAAAGATCTTGATGATTCATCTGTAAAATCAAAAAATCTTGACGATTCTTTTGTAAAATTAAAAGATCATAAAGATTCATCCATAAAATTAAAAGATAATGAAGAATCACCTTTAAAATCAAAACATCTTGGAGAATCACTTACAAAATTAAAATATAATGAAGAATCATTTGCAAGATTAAAACATCATGAAGGTTCATTTGCAAAATTAAAACATCATGAAGAATCATCTGCAAAATTAAAACATTATGAAGGATCACATATAAAATCAAAGGGTCATGAAGGTTCGCATGTAAAATCATCAAAATATCAAGAATCATCGGAAATTGAACAACCATCTCCTCCGGAGCAAATTGCATCATCTAATCACAAATCAGTATCTGAAAAAGTAATAACGGTCGAACAAGTAATATCACTCGAAAAAATTTCATCTGTCAAACCAAAAATTATACATGATGATCTTAATGACGAACAGAATATTCAGATTAAACAAGAGCCAAATGATGACGTAGTGGTTATCGACGAAAAAGAAAAAATGGCTTTGCCGAAAACGACCAAACGATCCAGAAGATCTAATCGAGAAACATACGCATATTTAAACATGTTGCCTAAACGACGTACAAGACAACAATCACAATCTGAATGGAATTTACCACATGATTTATTACCTCAAACCACTCGACAATCACTGCAGCCTAAACGTCGAAAATCTGAAAGGCCAATAGAACGTGAAAAAACCGTAATAACACAACCAACCGAACCTGAAGTGACTCAATCTCAAAATCAAGCAACTCCATCTCAAAATCAAGTAACTCCATCTCAAAATCAAGTAACTCCATCTCAAAATCAAGTAACTCCATCTCAAAATCAAGTAACTCCATCTCAAA